ATCCAGGCTGTGAAAAAATGTCAACGTATAAATAGAGATATGTATATGATCAATAATCTAAAACATGGGGTCCACCGTATGGCGGTTCAAGGTTTGCTTTGGGCATAAGTCCTAAACATTGACCGGTTCACTAAACCTAGTGAAGAGTTATTACATTAACCTATTATGAATAAATGAACTACAATAATTAGAATCAAGTCTGATGATATTTCATATCATATTTCATGTTTGACATCTCTTTCAATCTCACTTAGTCCTGTTTTTATCATGAATCAAATCGTTCATTACAATACGGTAAATATGATGTGAAATACACAACATTGGGAATATTGACATAACATGGATCTCAAAGCTGTTAGTCTAAATTCTGTCAAAACATGTTCTCCGACTTTACTATTCCAAAAGTCTCCTTCTTCTTCTCGACCAAACACACTGACTTGATCTGAGAGGGATTTTCTTTCATATTTGAACATTCTAACAATTTCAAATTAGTTTAGACACATTTCAATGAGAAAGGGAAAATGAACCTTCCCTTGAAAGACAAACAAATATGAACCTTTCACTTTTTAGCGAATTGCTAGTTGGTCTAGCAGTCATATCCGGGTTACGTGTTAGCCTACAAACTGACTCTTATCCGACCAAGGATGGAAATTGAATATGTCCTAGATGTTAATCATCATAATCTCATTGATACACGGATATGCAAAAAACCACGCAATCACACAAACACAAGCGCACACGCACACTCGAACACACCCACGACTACGTAGATGAATATAATATTATTCAGTGCGTATTAAAAAAAAGTATATCCAACTTTTGCAGATTTCTATTTTAAATTTATAACCTGTGTGACCCTCGATTATATTCAGTTTTATGGAGTAACTAATATTCTGTCTAACAATACCTCATCCATAAATCTGCTGCCACTGATGATAAAGCGTTGTAAAAAACCTCTTGTACCAAGTTTAGACTGAAGCAATGAATATGGGTCAAAAGCCCTTACGCATCGTTATTTCAGTCCGAAAACAATTGTTTAACATATTCGCATTGAGTTTATGCCTAAGAGGAGAAAAGGTAATGCGGTCGACTCAGACTCAAGCAAAGGCTCATTAAAATAAGAATTTAAAGATATTCTCTTTGCTTAGATAACACAATCTTGGCTCCTCTTTCTTCGCCTGTAAAATTGACAAATGCATGGATGCTATCTACTTATCTTCTACAAGAAAGTCTTCTGTCAATATCTTTGGAAAATGTTGTCTGGACTTTCTTTCTTGTCTATATTGACTATGTGAGGATAGTAAACCTTCTAGGTTTTTATGGAGGGTTTGAGACAAATACATAATGCCCCTTACTCAATGTAAGAGTGTGAAGTGGCGCAAAGGAAATAATGAGATTTTATATATCATCAGACAAGAAGTTAGAAGGCTGTTCAAAATATTTAAAGGTGATCATGTGGTTTGAAATAAAGTCATGTGAACGCTTAGAAACAGTGGATCACGTTAAACAATGAGGCACTGAAGCTCAAAACAGAGTTTAACATTTTAAATTTAAGACCAAAGTAACGCTTGCTCATAGCCTGACCAACATTCGGCGCATCATAATAAACTTGGTACAAACAGATTTTGATGGCACTAATTAAAAAACCTGGTGCTCATTCATCCGAGGCAAAACAAGTATGAATAATGTATCACTAGACAGGAAACAACCCTCTACCACAAAAAAGATTCATAGGTGACCTCAACTATTACTTTTTAATTATGAGCTACTAACGTAGGGTCTACTGTTTTTGCTATGCACTGTATTATACTGCGGCTTAGCTTCGTGTAGCAAAGGCATTCAAATCTTCACTAAAGAAATTTCGAAACAAATGCATTTTTAAAAAGGCCTTGATTTGTTTGTTATGTTGGTCACACACACCAGTTTTACATACAAGAAATGCGGAGAGCGTGGATAATAGACGCTCGAAAGCTTTTCAGCGGAACAGATTTAAAAGAGGAAAATTACAATGAAAACTGACAAATCCATGCAATAGAAACTTTGAGCATATTTCTCCTTTTGGCTTCGATGCAAACATGGTTGGAAAATGAACGTTTTACAAGAACAATCCGACAAACCTAACATAACTGAAAAATGATTCCAATAACTAGTCTTCAATTATTGTCACTTTTAATAAAGAGGCATGCGTATCCGGACAACTACCCCCTAGACATCCACCCCCGGATAACCACACCCAGTCAACTACCCCCTAGGCCCTAGGGCAACAACCCTCTATGACGACTACCCCCAAGGACAACTAACCCCCGGACAACTACCCATATGACAACTATCCCCTCACAACTCCCCCCTAGGATTGTTGTTCGGGGGGTAGTTGTCCTAGGGTATGATTGTCGTAGGGGTGGTTGTCCTGGGGTAGTTATCCGGAGGTGTTTGTCCGGGGGCTAATTTCCCGCGGGTAGTCGTCCTAGAGGATGGCTGCCCTAGAGGGTAGTTGTCCAAGGGGGTAGTTGTCTGGGGGGGGGGGGTACTTGTCCGGGGACTAATTGTCCCGGGAGTAGTCGTCCTAGAAGGTGGTTGCCCTAGGAGGTTGTTGTCCAAGGGGGTAGTTGTCCTATGGGTACTTGTCCGGGGGCCAGTTGTCCGGGGGTAGTCGTCCTGTACTAGAGGGTGTTTGCCCTAGGGGGTCGTTGTCCTAGTAGGTAGTTGACTGGGGGATGGTTATCCGGGGATGGATGTTCAGGGGATAGGTGTCTTAGTATACAAATAATGGATGGTTATGAGTTGAAAAATTAACGTTAATTCTATTCAACTCGGCTGACGCCTCGTTGAATAGAATGTTAATCTTTTAACTCATGCAAATATTCGCACTATTGAACGAATGAAAAACATTCATTATTTGTTTTATACAACATCGAAGAAGAATAAATTAAAGTTGGAGTCAAGACTTCTCGATTACATTCAGATTGCCTTCGCGTCAGATACACGCATGGATACGCGCAAGGCAGAGAGGTACACAGTCTGCATAACCAAAAAATACACGGCGAATTTAACCCAAAATGCACGCCCGTGCAATAGAACATCTATTGAATATTATGTGACCAACAATCCTCTAATCAAATGACAAAGATCCACGTAGGTGTTGTATAAAATCGGAAAGATGATATTCATTCTCTCAGAACCAAATGGAGAAGATTACATAAAATATTTATTTATTTTTAAAATCTAAATTTGGGCCTATTCACAAGCTGGGAATACACCCATCATGCATCATCATGAAACATTGGACTAAAAAATCTATGCAAATTATGCAAATTGCCCAACATTGCCCGAATGTTGAAATTGTTCTCTACCGACAAGATGTCACAAATGACCACCATGATCACCAACTACAACAACAACAAACATCATCACATCTTCAACGGAAAGATCTTTCTTAGGTTCATTAAATGAAAAGTTTAACTATCCTACCGGGGCTTTTGGGGTAATCATTTCGATCAAGATGATGTTCTAAACGTTACCAGATCCAAAATGCGAAGTCTAGAAAGAAAACGGGTTTCCTTGCATAATTTCAATACTAGGACACTACTAACGTTTAAATTTCATAGATTGGACATACGTGAGATATTCTTAAATCCTGCAAAGTTCTTCAGAATTTGATGATGGCTGCAAAAGGGATGCTTTTAAGACATGCTAATGTGAGTATAGTCCACCTTTTCATCATTACCACAAAACTAAAAACATTTATTCATATTGTTTATGATATTTACTAAGGATTAGGGTTTCTGCAATATATACATGGATTGTATGTAGCTATATTCCGATGAGGTTACATATAGTGGCTATTGATTGGATCAACAACATTTAAATGTAACGAGTCAAAAATTGATATATTATACTCACTGTTTGCCTAGATCCTGCTCAATTCAAAATGAATCATGGAATGAGACGTCGAGTCCTCTCCTCAGAAATATTTATCCAATTGAAGCCGAGCAAAAAGGATTCACAGTTAATTTTACACAGTTCAAATAAAAGTAAATGGCAACAAGTAAAATGAGGGATCTCTTCGAGAACGCGTTATAAAGGCGTTTGCTATGTCTCTTTCGCTTGATATGAGGAGAATTTGTATCTATGTCACGAATCCGGTTTTGCACAGATGCCAAAACATGCAGTGTCGAGGAAAATAATCTATAATGCCAAAACATGCAGTGTGTCGAGGAAAATAAAATGATCTAGAATTCAGTCTTATGCAAATTCCCTTAGCACAAATGTGCTTCGTTCCATCAGATTTAAATATAGATGTGACTATTAAGAACCTGCATCAAATAAAAAAAAGCATAGTGTGCGTGAGTCCGTATTTCACAATTTTGTGACGTTGAGGAAGTACCTGGTGTACGTCAGTCTACCCAAGTGGTCCAAAAACCAAATAAAAGGAAATTTACACAACAAGGGCTGTCCAAAGTCCAAACAAACAAAATAATTAATATCTCTCGCTCAGTGAGTCGGCCCTGATCACCGAACTGTAAAATATGTATTTTACAGTTTTGTGGTCCTGATGGGGATTGCGATGCAAACCAAATCACGTCATATAGTGGGCATAGTTGGCATTCCGCATAGCCAGTGCAAACATTAGTCTCTTCCTGGTAGATACAAATTATTGGGGAGAGGGGGGGGGGCAGGGGATGTCTAATATATATCGACTGCCGCCGCCTTTGAGTATTTTTCCCATAATTCAGTAATTCGGGATTATCTTTCCAACAATACACATTTGTCCTTACCCGTGGAGACAATTTTCATGTTGCTAAAATGTCAATGTATGGGTTGAAGAAATAAGCAAATGTAACTCCGCAGCGTTAAGCTAGCAATGTAAATTGAAACTATTTATGTATGAATAATAATAATAATAATAATAATAATAATAATAATAATAATAATATTGGATTCTGTATAGCGCTCATCTCTATCAGACTTGACACTTGGCGCTCCAGATTATTATTGGTATAATGTTTATTTTTACAGATTGGTGCAAACGGCAAGATCACTCAAGCAGACAAGAGGAGATTTGTGAAAACTACGAAACCTTTGGTGACTTCACCCTCGACTTAACAGCTGCTCTCAAATCCCTCCAGGAACTCGATTTCACCAAAGGTATATTTTCCAGTATTGCTTGACTCTTCAAAGCGGATTGTAATCTGCCTGTAATCTCGGACAATTCCGTATACTCCCAATATCTTTCATTTGCTCGCGCTTGAAACATGACTGTCTCTTTTTCATCGTTGCTAATACTCAGACAACTGTTTCCACATTTTGATTCTTTGTTCTTCTTCTATGTTCATCCACTGGACCTCAGTCACCTCAGACAGGGCATTTTAACTTCAACTGTTTCTCTCGACCCAGGTTTAAAAAAAAAAATATTTGTAAGTTGCTTTGCGACTGCTGGACACGAAAGTCGACGTTTTCACCTTCTTCCGATTCGTCAGGATTAATTTCCTTTTTGCCCCATAAAATCTCACTTTTGCTCCATCGAGTATTTGTATTTTCATTGTCGAACACGATGATCCATAATGGTACTAATCACTCCTCGAATTGAACAGTTGGGTATGCGTCTGTCGCATACCCGATATTGCGCGGAAACGTTCTCTTAAAAATTGAAATTATAGTTTATTGCATTTCATTTATTTCCTTCAACGTCAAGATAAAAACAATATGACATATCTTTTTATCTTGCAGCTCCTGGCAAGCCAGTATTACAGCCGAAATCATCCAACCGTTGTACCTGTCTCGAATGGACGCCACCGACTGATGGGGGCGTTGTTGCCTCTTTCTCTTTGGAGTACATAAAGCTCGACACCAAACAGACGACAGACGAAGGTATAGAAAGACCTACCAGCCTACCGCTCAACAACGCTAGCGACGACCAAGATGATTCCGAGAATGACGAAGATTGGACCACGATTTCGGGACTGACGGAATGTCAGTATGAACAAAGCAATCTGGAGATGAATTCTTCGTATAAAATTCGGGTGAAGGCTGTTAATCCTGCGGGGACGAAATCAAGCGAGTGTATACTTTTGAAAACACCGCCAGCTCCAGGTATGAAACCATTTTTATTTGGCATAACAGAACAACTTAATGAAAAGAAGATTATGAATTGTAACTCAAATAACCTGACTGATCAATAATTCAGTGTCGATATACAAGACCATTGTGAGGTAGAAATGTAATAAAGACTTGTCGGCTTTCAGGCCCTGATACGTCACTATTACATGTCCTTTGACAACACATGAATTTAAATTTCCCACTCAATACCCAGAAGACAAAGTGGGACCTGGAAAGGATGAGGTAATACTGATTCCGGTAAAAAAAAGTATACAATTTGATAAATTGTTGTTGATGTACCTCAAATAGACTTGAGACTATGACATAAGCTAGCTATCAACACATATCAAAACATTGACCGGGGGACAACATTATTTCCTAATGATTCATGATGCTGGTAAAAATATATTTGGTAGTATTTGTATGTTTTAAATCTATGATGTTGTATGGCCTCCCTCTATAATGAATACCAAGTATACCCTGAGATTTTACAGGAACCATTTTCCAGATGTGTAACGTTCATGCTTGGACTTTAAAATATGATAATTATTGTCTTTTGTTTCCAGTCCTGCCTTTCAAGTGGATCCAGTGCCAATCCAGCGTTGCTCATACATCTTCAAAGGTTCGAAAGGACGGCCAGGAGGTCCTCGTCTCACCAACATCAACATTGTTCTCCTCGAACTCCAGCTCGTTCCCGACCTCGCCCATCGCTCTCGAACCCGTCCACTTCGTGGGGGACAAGAAGCTGACGATGGGGAAACACTACTGGGAGGTCCAAGTTGACAAGTCCACTCTCGCTATCCACGACGGCATTGCCAGTGAGCGCATGGCCGAACGCTTCAGCCGTAGCAACGGCGGAGACGCCATTGCTGATCGCGATAGCGGGCACGACAGCAACGACGAACTGGACGACGAGGTTTCGTTGCAGGATCCCACCGTTTTCGTCACACATTGCATGGGCAAGCTGACACTGCCGTCTCCGACGTCGTCGCCAAAGAAGAACTCGAGCAGGGCACCGTTGAAGGCTTCAAGTCCCAGGTCGTGTAATATTGAGTCCAATGTTATTGGTGTTCTCTTGGACGCTGAGGCTGGGAAAGTGTCCTTCTATGATGGCTCGTCCAAGGAATGTCTCTTCTCGAGGAAGATCAAGATAACCGGTGTAATCCAACCCGCTATATCCATCGTCGGGTCTGGAACAGCTAGAATGAATTAATGAGGACATGACCGCGATCACTTCCCCCTAAACAGATAAAAATATACATTGAACTGTTCTGCTTGTTAGTTTTTTTTTAGAAATTACAGATACAATACGAGATATAAACATTAAGAAAACTCTCAAACCATGTTCTTTATGTCAATTCTAATTGGTAAAACAAAGTTCATTTCGCGCTTATGGACCAACAAGAATTATTAATATTCAGTGACCTGTTTTAATGAATTGTCATGTGTATAATTAATTTTGTTAATGTGAATATTTATCAATGGGCTATACACCCTTTCACGGTTACGAGAGTGCGCATGTGCAGACAGGGGCTCCAAAGTTGTTTACTCGTAATTTAAGATGGCGCCCATGCAAATATGATGTTAGCGCACAGCGCAGGTAGTGACGCAACAATACATGCGCATCTGAAAACATTGATGACGCAATGTTTACGTAAATCTAAAATGGCGGCCTTAACCGTAAAAGGGTGTAGTCAGCGTTGATTGAGTTCCTTTATAGTCTACCGTTTGAAATCCTACAAAACGTGTGATGAAAACAATGTTGAAGTGAAAAAGCAATTATTACTTGATTATTGAGCGGATACGGATCGACAATGGATAGATTAATTGACAAATAAGTTTTAAACATCGTGCACAGGATCTTCATTTAGGTTGCAAAAATATATACTACGAGTTAACTTTCTCTGTAATTGACCAATCAGAGCCTACCTTTCAAAATTGTAAACGTGAAAATCTAAATGCTGATTGGCTATTACAATATTTGCGTTTGATTGCAGAAAGTTGCAGGCCATTTCCATTTTTAAAGGACATTTTTGGTACAAGGGATGTTATTTTTAAAATATCTAATGCTGCATGTGGCAGTTCATGATAGGTGGTGTCAGATGTATATAGGGAATTGGATGCAATAAAAACCGTCGATGGTAATTTTTGATATGTCAAACCGGCTTTTTATGATGAGAAATTTGAATCACAGGAAATTATTGTGGTAATAACAAAGATAGTTGGAATCGTGCATTGTGCATTAATTTGCAAAGTGAGCTATTATATAATTTGTGTATGGAGTAAATGATAATCTGTATAATGTGATAATGATGATGAGAATGGTTAAATATGAGTAATGATGATGATCCCAATGATGAAAATGATAATGGTATCAAACAGTATTAATACCGTTACGATTAATATTGCTAATCATTATTATTGTCATTGGTTGTATTCATTATTTTCTTCTCCATCATCGCTATCGTCGTCGTCGTTGCTGGCGTGTCGGGCGTTTTCATCGTCGTCTTCATCATCCCAATCATCATCATTATTATCTATTTTTTTATCACTACTGTTTAAAATATATTTATTCTTCACCCTTTGTATGTAATCTTTCGAGTAAATTTTTTAAATAGACATAGTTTTTCCCCTTGTTTCTTGATTGAATTCATATGTATTCCTCTAAATAACTGATTTAAATTGTGAAGATTATAATTATGAGTTATCTCTTTTTAGCACCGAGTGATTTAGATCGTCTACATTTGGGTGTTGGTTCAGTTACCTTTCATATGATAATTATAATAACAACAATAATTATGCTGCTAAAGAATGCTTTTAATTCATTTATGACAGATTATATTGTAGCGTTTTTTAATATTTCGCCTGCTAACCAGTCAACAGGGTATATTTTAATATTATTCTTTCACGCAGTCAATACGCATACAAACTGTCGCTGATGCTCATTGCTGTTACTATTTCTACACTTAAATGCAAAGCCGTTTATGAGTGATGGAATAGTTTATCGCTTAAGTGGCTGCTCAAAGTCCTGTTTTATACGATGTTGATGCTAAGATTTGTATAAACAAAAATGTTTGTTATAAAGATTTATTTCAGAGAGGAACTATATAGCACCTTAAGCGCTTTATACGCTAGTTACCAAACGGAATAGAAAATGCCTTTTGTTTATGTGTGAAATAATTTGTGTGCAATGTCTGGTAGTATGACTTGTTCGAGAGATACCGGCATGTTTTTCATGATAAAAGGGATGAATTAAGTTTTGCCTTTTTATGTATAGATTCAATATGTTGCTGGTCAAGTACAAGTGCCTCTTGAGATAAGTACGTGCAATGTTTATAGAAAAGGAAAAGCTAAAAGAAAAACAATCCTACGTGCATTGTAGAGTTAGTATTCAGGTTTTATCGAGAAAACTAGGAAGGTTTCAGTTGAATTATAATATGTATTCAGTGTACAGATAGATTTTTATTGAATTGCTTTATCATTATAATCATAGTTGTTAAAAATCACATTAAACGATTATTATTGAAGAATGACGATAGTAAGATAATGATGCTCTTAAGAGAAAGAATGTTGCGGAGCTTACCGTACGGTTGCAAAAAACTTCTTTTAATTGATTTTAATACTATTTTGAAGCTGTGTACATTGGTGGATATTTTTCGTTAGGGTTATGTTCTGCCTTTTGCTCTCATATTGTGAATAAATCTTTCTCACAGCAATATTATTCGTTTGTGTAATGTATATTATTTTTCTCATGAGTTTAACCGGGTACATAACTATAACAAATATGTTCTTCCTTTATTTTATTCACTTTGAGAAATAACCCAATATTTATATATCCTTGTTTCTATACCTCACTTTTTATTTTGCACTTTATCTTCAGCTATCCACCTTTTCCTAAATCTATAATTTTCAAACACACACACCCAGACATAATCATACACAATATCAACAACAAAATAATTCCACCCCGATCCAAGTATATGCATCGTAGTACAGTTTCATGCAATATGTTAAAACTATTGAAATTTCTCCAAGGAAGCATTACATTCATAAAGACGTTTTGCATAACCATTCATTGTTGATTTCTGCTTTCATTTTAATTACAAAAAAATCATATGTATCACTCATTTCGCTTCCAATTTATATGATCAATATGCTCCATTTCTTTCTCTAAGACACGAAACGTGTTTAGTTTCATTTCATCTTGTAGGCAAATTAATCACAATGTTTTGCATGGTAAGGAATTTTTTCTCAATTTCTTTCGCAAAATAATACGTTATTCATACAATTATTTATTTTTATTTCAATTTATCAATTATTTTGTCAGTCATTTAGCTATGCCTACACCTGGTACGTTTGTGCTTCTCCTTATTCTAATGAACTGTGTACCGAACCTTGTTTTTCAACGCAAAGAAAGAAGTAGACCCCGCCCCTATCGTCCAATTTGTTAATAGATGCATCAAATCAGTGTTGGCATAATTGTACTATTGCTCGATATATAGACTTTGAACTATGACCTCCTGAAGTGTAAAAGGCACACACCGGTAGCTATTGTACCTTTTCTTGTTTACTCAGACCCAGAATTTAAAATGTTTGTTAGAGGGAAGGGAAAACAAATCATGTGCATGACGAGACATTTTTTTTATAAGCATGCCCTGATAAACAAAACCTCGTGATGAACCACGAGTTGGTCCAACAAAGCGCACCATTTCATTAAAAGTGGGGTTTAACATTTGCAAAGTCTTTATCCAGAACGAGAAAACAAAATAATGTTCTTTCGACGTTAAACGTATGTCCAAATAAATAGCACGAATATAATGTACATAGCGAGTAGTTTCATGTCAGCCTTGATAAAGGCCGTTATTAAAATTCCTTATTCATGTCAATCAATGCAGTAGAATTAAAATTGACTGCAACAAAAAGCCCTATACAGAAGACCAGTCTGTCACGTGCAAAATACAGGTATAATATCAATAAACATGCACTTTGTAAGTTATGATACGCATGTGATATCATATAGTTTATAACCTGGGGTATCCGCAGACTACTGGGTACCGAAGTTTTGATGTTAGTTTTACTTGGTGTTAACTTTGAAGTGCTGTGGACATGGGGATAACTGGATTTGACAGAGAAAAACGCTGAAACCGTGTATACAGTGTGAGGTAGTCTTAGGTGCTTTCGTCACGGATTCGTAGACAACATATTGGCGGAAACTCATTGTAGGTCTTTTAGTATTTGAATAAGCTAGAGTATTTGATAAAGTGCATTATTCAATCATTGCATTGTCAACATAAACGCGATATTTACTCAACATGGCGAGAAATCTAGTGATCATCGCTGTGCTGGTGGTTGTGTCCTACGAGTCGTACGGTCGCCCGTCGGAGTCGATAGCGTGGACGAGCTGGAAGGCGCAGCACGGTAGACGATACTCGACGAAGGAGGAGGAGCTCTCCCGATGGAGGACATGGGTCAAGAACAACCGCCTCGTCGACGAGAATAACAGAGCTTACGATGAGGGAAGACGGTCGTTAAAGATGGCGATGAACGAGTTTGCGGACCAGGTAAGAGAATGCTGCACTGTCCAGTGGCGTATCAATTAACAATAGAAGTGGACATGTTCCTGATGAAAACACGATTACATTTTACTTTTGGTAGTCTTTAATTACGACATTCTAAAACTTGACTAGTTTGTTTCCACTGACTGATTTCAAAGAGTTAGATGGTCTGACGCGATCGCATGGGGTGTTCTCAAAACGTTTAAAGTAACATGGTGCGAAATATTAAGCATGGCAACCAAAAGAGGAAATACTTAATTTTTGAGAAAGCACGAGATATGTGACGCTCTTCGTTAACAATAACTCATAAAAGACAACCAATATCGAGCTTGAACTTTACAAGATGTATCGTAAATTAATTAAACTGTACTTGATTTTAGGAAATTTCTTGTAAAGATTTTTGTAAAAATATATATTTTTTAATGATACCCCAATATGTTTTGTTTCTCAGTGTTACTATTCAGAGCAAGCGCCTGAAAATTTTGTTGTGGAATGACAGATGTGATACCAAATTGAACCTTTGTTCTCTGACTTAAACATGCCAATATTAACCTCTAACTTAAAGTTTGCATAGTTTTCTTTACCGAAGATTTTTGTTTTTTTAATTTACAATCGCTACAGGATATGAGTAAAATACGAAACAAGTTTGAAGTGAAAGCGAAACTACTCAATACAGAAACAAAGCGGAAGTCGTCAGTGACGTCATCATCGTCATCGACTTTACCGTCATCATGGGATCGGAGAAAGGAGGGCAAGGTCAATCCTGTCCGGAACCAAGGCCAGATGGATTCAGCTTTGCCGATGAATATAGCTGGTTAGTTGATCAGGGCAGCGTTCCACGAAACCGTCACAAGTACAAGTTCGCCGACATCCCATTGAAAACGCACGTATTGTAATTAGGACACTTTTCAATGGGATGTCGGTGAAACTGAACAATAGGGACTTTTAGATTCACACGAAGACAATGGGGATTGCTACGAAAGACGTCCTTTTAACACACTGCCTTGAATGGACGTCACACGTATCAGTCCACGCAAATTTAAAAGCCCCTAATGACGGTTTTGTGAAACGGTGTCCTATATCCTGTAATTATTTGTTATTTTAATTACCATTATCGCGATGAAATAAAATGTACCGTTGAGCGTTTTAGCAAGCAAATATGAAAGTTAATTGTTAACTTATTGAACTCAAACACGAGGCGTCATTTCGCTTGCGTCATTACCCGGGCTAATATCTAGTCTGTAAAGGTATAAAGACCCTGTCACACTGACCTCCTGGACTGTCCCGGAGCGTCCCAGACTGAAATTTGGCCGATCCGAGGTCAGATCCGTGTTGGATCCGCGTAGGGTCCGTCATGGTCCTGGACACCATCAAGGCAATTTTTAACTTTTTAAAAATTGCCTTGGTCATCCGGGACCGTCCGTGATGATTTTTGAATATGGGATAGTCCGGGACATTCCGTGTAGCGACCGTGACGGCTCCGGGAGGTCCGTAGTAGCATCGTGTTGATCCCGGGCGATCCTGGGCGATCTGGCATGGTGTTGGGCGCCCCAAGCACCCCGGACCATACACAGTTCATGCCGGACCAAGCACGGATGACCACGGGTGAACACGGACCTAACACGGTGCGACGTTGAGAACAGGGATTGAACATGGGGCGGTCCGTGTTGGGTCCCGGGACAGTCCATAGCTGATCCGGGATTGTCCGGGGATCCGTATTGACACCGTGCTGGTCCGTGTTATTCGACTCAATTTCACCCAGGATCACCCCGGATCAAGATATCTCTTGATCGGGGTGTTTCTTGTTAATTCGGGGTGCTCCGTATTGGGTCCGGCTTCGGTGTGAATTAGGCTTTAGAAGTCTCTAAAGTCAATTGTGTTCGCATCGTTCATTTGTAATCATTTTCGTACGATGCCACCCTTACATGTCACGGCAGGGACTGGATCAGTTGTTGACGCAATCTTGCGTCAAGACATTGACAGCTCTTGTGTAACGGGCTTTGCGTTCATTCTTATCCTTGCATATGATACATGACGATGTAGAAGGAAGAGTAAGCGTTTGCTGGCTATCATAGGCGTATGAGGTGAAGAGCGTGGAGCTGTACCCCCTCCCCCTCTCCCAAGTTATTATTTCTCATTTGCTAACATCACCCACACATCTCCTGCCATCATAGTATCCCTGCTACGGCACTTCCTTTGCATACTGGGAGGCACTCTTTTTTCCGAAGGTTCATATCAAGTCCGATGAGTTTCCCAAGCAGGGGTTCATAATTCCCGAACATGTACATGTCATTATTTTGCTGCTTTATTCCGAAGGTTCATAATTCAGAAAATGAAATAGTATACGTTCTTCCGAAGGTTAGTAATTCCGAAAAAATAAAAAAGAGTTCTATGTTATCAGTATCACTTTTAGAATGTCGGAATAACGAACCCTATTTCATTTTTGAAGACACGACCCTTCGGAAGTTTGAACCTTACTAGGAGTAACTAGCCTTCATAATTATTAACATTTAGGGAAACAGCATGTAACCATCACACCACTATATTGATATCCCATTCAGATGCCGTAGCTAGCTACTCGTCCATCTACAACCAGACTTACCTGTACGCACTGTCCGTCGACGAGGTGGTTGACTGTTGTCTTCCTGATCCCATCGAAGACCCTCACGTCTTCGACTGCGTGCACGATCACGACGGGCTGTGTCTGGACGGCTCCTATCATTCTGGATCTGCTCCGAACGTCTGCAATAACGCATCGTGTAAGGCCGTCGCATCGGTAGGTAGTTTTGCAAATGTTGACAGGTGGTATGGGGGAGGGGGGAGGATCCGGCTAACTTTTCAGGGAATTTGGTCCCACACCAACCACATCCCTCTCCCCTTTAAGGATCCATCATGTTCTGCAATAGCCTTATAATTCAGGTACAAAATTGCTTAAGAAGAGCAGGGGAAGGGAGGGAAGGGGGGGGGGGGGTCGTACGTGTAACTTAATTTTGCTCACATTCTTTTAGCCCACTAGCTGGATCTCTTTCTTTTCTCTCCCTATCTCTCTGTTTTTTCGTCTGTGTCTCTGTTTCACCTTCATTTCCTGTTTGGTGTGTGGATGAAGGTGATGTGCGGCATATATCTTACATCATGTGCACGATAGACAGTAACTTCTTGAGACTTCAAAACTGATTTAATCCGCTTTTTGGTTTTTGTTCAAACAATGTAACGGGTGTATTAACAAAAAGTTGAAAATCTTCAATTTATCTTTTATTTTTGTCTCTCTCTCTCTCTCTCTCTCTTAATTTTCCAAAATATTTTCTCACTCATTTTATTCAGTGTAACGTTGGTAAGTTCGTAACTCAAGGTAACGAATCAGCACTCACTGAAGCAGTCTACTTCACACCCGTCGTGGTAGCCATAGACGCAAGCCAGCCGTCTTTCCAATTATACGTCAGCGGCGTGTACAGTGATCCCAACTGCTCGTCGACGCAATAAGCCAGTTCACGGTTGCAGTCTGAGCATGAGCAGATAAAGGTCATTGCAGAACAAATTTTGAAATACACGGAGACGAAATACTGGATACGTGCTCATGAAAGTTATGTAACATTATTCATTCATGCACATTCAGTGCACTCCATTGTACACAGGTTGAAGTATTCTTTGAAAAGGGGGAACAAAGGCTATTTATAAAGCAGCTCCACCGCTGTAGGAGTGATTATTTCAAAATGTACAAAGTGGGACCTCTTCATTGTGTTGAAGATCTGTGGATATTCGGGGTCATTGCAGTAAGGTGCTAACCGTGAACTGGTCTTAGACTATTGGATCATTCCCTGTTGTTGGTAGGCTACGGTGTTTCTTCGGCGGGGACCGAGTACTGGATATGCAGGAACACATTGGGTGAGCTTTCCTGGCTTTATACGTTGCACACGAGGCGTTATTTTTGCCTGACGTAGGATTGCGTCAGTGATTGCTGTAGTCATTAATACCCCCTTCACATACACGGATTTTTCTTACGATTCCTTACGGATCGCACAAATTCACGGATCTTTCACGGATCCTTACGATTTGGCCACTTTTACGACCGGTTTAAGAGTTATTACGAGCTGTTTGCGGTTTATTACGGATCATTAAGATTTATTACGATGTATTTACGGCAACAGTCCACGATTCGTTACGAGTTGTCACGGATAACTACGAGCAAATAACGTGTTAGTTACGACCTGTTTACGTGTTGTTTCAAATAGTAACGAGTAAGCTACAAGTTATTACGAGTCTTTACGATTTGTATCCCCAAAATAAAAACTGAAAATGAAGTGTTCGAATTTGCAGCTTTTATACCTTTCCCAAAATCGTAAACAGTTCGTAAGCATACGTAAATTATACGTATCTATTCGTAAAGTATTCGTAACTACACTTAAAATGCTCGTAATAACCCGTATCAATCCGTAAAGCTATCGTAAAATGACCCGAATAATATCGTAAACAACACGTAAGCACACGTAACCATCCTTAAACTGCTCGCAATAATCCGTAAATAATCCGTAAACAAATCGTAAACTAACCATAACGAATCGTTACAAAAATCTGTTACGAGTCATTTACGGATTCTTGCGAGCAGTTTACGGGTGGTGGCGTGTTGTTGCGAGCGGTTTACGGGTGGTTACGGATTGTTAAGAGCTATTTACGAGCTATTTACGGACAAATCAATCCGTGGACAATCGTAAGAAGATTTTTGACATGTCAAAAAATCTACCTCTCCTTTCACGGATCCTTAAGAGTGTCTACGAGTTGTTGCGAGTTGTGACGAGTTATTTACGGATACCAGCGAGTTATTTACGGATGCTTGCGATTGACTACGAGTTGGCGATCCGTAAGGACTCGTAAGGAAAATCCGTGTATGTGAAGGGGGTATAATGCGCCATGCGAGGGTGATATCGAGCAAAACGCGATTTAAAAAAGAACAGTTCTAACCATGCTTTTGATAGATGACATATGTTTTACATTCTCGATTAGCGCAGATAATAACGCAGTCTAAAATGACGCTTCGTACATGTGTAACGCGTATTAAGCCTACCGCACACTATACGATCTGACTACGATCCGATTTTGGAAGAATTTGCAATGGCATATGATGTGAACATCCATACGCCTAAAATGTTAATGATCAAAGATCTAAAACTTCGTTTTGCTTAAAACAATCTCAGTATCAAATTTCAAGCTTCATTGAAGGAAGAAACCCTAAATCGGCTCAGAATTGCAGTGACATCAGAAAAGTAGTGCGATTGCTTAGGATTTGGCTTTAGTCTGACAAGAAGCTGAATTTTCACTGAAATTCCGGTTGTTAGAATCCTGATCATTAATTTTAACCTAAATCAGGAAGACGATGTTTGCTCAGATTTATAAATCCAATGTAACTGCCAATTCTTCGAAATCGCAGGAGGATCTTAAAGTGTGCGGTGGGGTTTAGAGAATCCACTCATTACTTGAAAATGTACAGCTTTAAACTGAGGTGCACGGTTACCGTATCAAGACGTCTGACTCCAGAATATAACACCTGGACAAAAGTTACCCCATAAGACAACTACTCTCTTGGAAATTCAACCCCCCATCACTCCTTTTGACAACTACCCGTCCCTAGATTGTACTCCTACGCGTGATATAGTAATATTGTTTGAGAATGTTTTTATTCTTGTTATTGTGTTTGATTTCAATCACATATTTCTCGTATGAAATCATTTTGCTCACGTATTCTCAAATAAGTACCAATTATATGCTTTTAGTATGATTGTATTTCGCCAATCTCTTCTTTGTCCCCATACAGGAGAAGAGTGGGGAGAGAATGGCTATATCAACATTGCCAGGAATCACAACAATATGTGTGGCATCGCAACAGACGCTATCTACCCGTCAAACAAGTAAATGCACTGACCATGCATGGCTGACCTCCCCCCCACCCCCTTTTTTATTGGCAAAAAAGATGGGAAATAGGAGAGAAAGGGGAGCGCGAGAAAATGAATGGAAAAGAAGACGATGCTACATCCCCCCTTAACTAATTACCATGTTAATTTCATCCGACTGGTTCCCCCCCCCCCCCCCCCATCTCTCCCATGATTTGATCCACGCTTTTTCGCAAGTGCGTAAGGTTGCGTCGAGTATTGTTGTTGTTGTTGTTGTTGTTGAGTTAATATGGCCGCCAATCTGAACAGATTATTTCCGCCTGACTATATATTTTTTCACCAGTGTATTCATATTACACTCACCAGTTGCTTTTATGTGAATGAATTTGTAGACAGAAAAGTATTCTAGCGCCATCTTTCGTCACGAAACAACTAACATAATTTGTATGTGCGTGCGGTTTCCGTTGTGGTCCGTCTGTCACCTGTCCAGTAGGCCTACCCACATTCAAACCTAAAATTAAAGGCGAAGATAAGGCGGCCATTGCATAGTACTATTTTTGTGCATGTTTTATGTATTGTCCATCAATGCTTGAATTTACAACATTTTATGTCTCCCAAATTTCGTCTAAATGTTATTTTTGACCTGACAAGCAAATGTTATAGTAACACGAAGTTTAAGTGAATTCATCTTCATTATGCAAATGAATGTCAGCTATATGTTAAGATACTTTTCAACCTGATGCTACCTTTTTTTGTTCCTTTAAAAGTTATTTCATTATTTTTGATGAGGGACACCTTCTAGGGCGAATTAATCTATAATTATGAGCTGAGAGGCTTTTTATCAGTAAGCGATTTTTGACCGTACGGCAATAGTTTCTTCGTCATTCAGCTCAGATCGATCTGCTGCAGATCACCTAATTCATCAGCAGTGACGAACTCAAGTCTAGTTATTTATGTATTTATTGATTATCAAGTTTTCAACATATAATACCCAACAATACAAATATAATCACACATGAGCATAACAAAAATAAAATGATTTCATAAGATTATAAATGCAAATCAATTTTTTAGGAAAAGGGCATAAAATAGTAATTTGCAATATTTGAGGAAGAGAATCAATAATGCGTTCATATTTATTAATTTGAGGTATAATTATGAAAGCAGTGAAAAGTGCGAGTGTTGAACAGTTGAACGACATTTAAGCTACGGAATAATTGTTCTGAACCTCTCAATTTCCACATAATATAAATCACGTTTCTTTTCAAATTATTCTACTATTTCTTTGTCAATGTATTAATTCATAGATTGTTCTTCGTTTTAAATGTATTCATGCTTTGTATAAAATTTGCATGATATTTATTATTATTATATTTGTATTTTATTGGAAATGAACGGAGGAAAAAATCGAAAGATGTTTATGTGATTCTAACAGAAAGAAAAACATATCTTGGTTTGAATCAAGAAGCAATTGCCATTTTTGCTCAAGTTTGTTCTTATGTGATTCAAGCAACCTTTCATGTTTTTTTTTGTTTTTTTTAGAAATGATGCAGAACCTTTTTTCATAATTATTTTGTTTCACGCTCCCTTAGACATAGACCTATATTTTGCTCCTCAGTATAAAAGTGCATTATCATGATAGTCAGAGGCATAAAAACAAACATGATAAGTTAAGGTGGCATGCATACATATATAAATATATATATATAGACAGAGAGATAGAGAGAGAGAGAGAGACAAAGAGAAAGACAAAGACAAAGAGAAAGAGAGAGAGAGAGAGAGGAGGGGGGGGGGGGGGAATGCACCCCGAAGAAAAGGCTCTGGGTTTTTCCATACTTGGAAGGCATATACATGTATAAATAATTGATGATGAGATAATTATGACGTGATCGTATATAGCTTTTGTTTTGTGTCTCCCTGTATTTGTCAAGCTTTCTATTTGTACCCAATGATCTTCTTCAGGACTCATGTTTATACTTGACAGGTTTATATTGATGTTTATAACGGTGTAGCGTTTTAATCTGCATCATGTATTTCAAAGTGGTTGGTGTATACTTATGTGTGAGATCATTTTTGTCTGCTTTTGAATGCGTGTTTGTATTTCATTCTTATATGTTCCCTCTCTCTCTCTGTCTCTCTTTCTTCCCCTCTCTCTCTCTCTTTATTCCCTTGCTTTCTCTCTCGTTACCCTCCCCTCTTTTCTCTCTGTCTCTATCTCCCCCTCTCTCTCTCACCACGCCTTTCCTCTCTGTCATACACTCTCCAATCCACTCATTTCTTGTTTTGTGTGAAAAGCACTTTACCCTCTGTCATTCTTTATATTGCCCACCTCTTATCCGATTTATTCAAGTTTACGTGAATAGAGCTGTGACTCGACAAAACCAAATGTAAATGGCTTTCATATTTATTTTATTCAATTTCTTGCGATATTTCTCCTTCTACCATCTCTCAGCAACAAGAAAGTTTTAAAAACCCATGAGTTCAATCAGTTATAGATCGAACTTTCTCTTTTATACATATGTACAAAGACATATTATCTGTTTGTAATTCTCTGAAACTGCGTATATTTATGTTTATGTACACACTTAAAATGAACAATACATAACTCTTATACATAGTCACTGTTGGTAAAAGTCGAAGGGATCGATTAAATCTTAGAACAGCTAGCTGCACACATATTTTTACCAAAAGACCTTAACAACAGCTTTGTTACCTTTATAAACAAAATATCACAACTTCAACGAACATATCAAATCCATATAGCCACGGATCTATTAGGTCTACAACATAACCAAGTAAGTGGCTTATCACATGATAACACAATCATTTAAAGCAAATGACAGTCTTTAACTGCTTAGATAAATACATGGAATTGTAGTCTCTACAACTACTGATGAGATAGTAGAAAACATTTGTTATTCTTACAACTAATTCCATATTCTGCAAGTCCTACTGTTTAAGCTATAGTTATACGTATTCTATGTGTCCACTGTTAAACATGCAATTATGTACACTCTCAGATATGTTCGCAAAATAAATTTAGATGTAACAAAACGTGTTTAGGAAGACGTGAATGAATGAATGCAAAGTGATTCCCTCTCTGAGAAAATTATACCTATATATATATATATATATATATGTTTACATATTCAATACATTTGGTATATCAATAACACGTTGTAGCAGTCCTGCAAATCCATGAAAATTGTAAACATATCAAAAAGAAATTACCCGGCTTTCAGATGATTCCAGAATTTCTCAAGGCAATCGAAGAGCATGTAAGAAGAGCGATGTTTTCAATACAGCTCGAACAAAGAGGGTACACCTCTCATAGCGTAACGCACATTGCAAGACTTCACCTTACTGTCTCTTATACCCCATTCACAGTGGTTTTGAAATTTGTAGCGGCGTTGTAGCGGAGCGGCGACACCGCCATAACACCGCTACAAATGCATTCACAGTAGAAAAATTACCCCGCTGCAGCAGCGGGATAAATATCATGTACCCATTCACGCTGCAGCGGGTGATTTTTATTACCTCCGTAACAAACACGTGTATGCATGGCTCATGACCCGCGAGTGACCCCGATATGACCGGAAATACTTCAGCGCGGGTTTTTAGGGTAAACATGTCAAGTTGCTTTTTGTATCCTCGATCATATTACTTTTTAAAAAACTAGCATTTTTATTGCTTCCAGTCAGAATATTTTAATTTTTTGAAGTGTGAAATATTTTTATTTGGATAATTATAAATCTACATAATAATAAAATCAATTTGAATCCACTGGTTACTTTATTTCTATTTCACTTTATGTTCCCCATTGCTGGAGAAAAGAGGTCAGTGATAGGTAAGTAAACAAATCACACGTGTTTGTCGCGGTGTTATAGCGGAGAGCCTTCACACTGAGTAAACACCGCGACAGCAGCGGGACTGTCCCGCTGCTGTAGCTAGGCGAGCCTAGCGATAGTTTGTCGCGGCGTTATCGCGAGGCGGTGTTATCCCGCGATAGTTTATAACGGGTCCGAGCCTTCACACTGAAGACAACACCGCGACAGCAGCGGGACAGTCCCGCTGCTGTCGCGGTGTTTGAGGCCACTGTGAATGGGGTGTTATTCAGGTGTAATGCACACCAACTGACAGAAATAATTACAACACAGGTATCAATGGAAACGATCATTACAATAATTATAGACATAGATTACAATAGAGTATATATTTATAAGATGTACAATGGTAAAAACACTGTACAGGAACATCGGATGTTTGAAATATATCACTTGAAAGAAATTGTGATTGTAGATAAGAATAAACCTATGACAATTTATAAGATATCACATGCTAGGGTCTATATCCTATTGAGATTAACTGATCGTAGAAATAACATAAACATGACTTATATTGCATCATTGTGATGGGAAATAGATGGCATTCAAATGCTACTAAATATATACAATGTACGGCAATAATCCTGTAAATCGAGATATGTCTTCCATCAAACGCTATTTTCCAAACCATTTAATGGAGATTTATCTTTGTCCTACTACCCCTGTCTTACTCCTCTCTCAGTGTATTACTCTCTGTCTTATATACAACGACTGTGGGATGCATGTTTCAAAGAAGTCTAGTTTGTAGTCATATGCCATTCGATAAAATGAGATCGAAATGACTAATTCCTCCCTCTTACTGCATAAATGAGTTTAACATGAAATACCAGAAATATGACCATGATTAGTTGAATATGAGAATAATAAAACGAGATAGGGTAGACTCTCTTTAAATAGAGCAATTGCAGTTGCATGCGTGTCATATATTTGCTTTTATTACGTACAATATATTATCATGATTAGTTGAATACATGAGTATTTAAACAAGATAGGGCTATTAATTTCTCTCATATTATACAACGACTTTTACATACATGTCACAAACAGACTATAAATAGTACATGTATGTATACACGATCTGATCACAATTTTGATATAAGAATATCACAACGAGATCAAGATGACTAATACTTCATGTGTTACCTCATCAATAATTGTTGCATGCATGTCAATAACTAGACAAGATTATATTCTCAATTATATTCAAAGTTAGAATCATGACTAGTTAGATGTATCCATTCTGGGACATGATGTACTGACAAAAATACTTATACCAATGTGTATGGATGTTCTTTTTCTATTTAACTGAAGAGCAAAACAAAACAAAAAATATATATATACATATCAACAATTGTATCATGGTTTTGTACATCTTATCAAGAGATGGGGATATTCACTTCTTGACTATAACGATTAAATTCAGGAAAAAATATGTTCAATCCTTTAATTTCAAAAGCAAGACATTATTGGATAGGACAGAAATAAGTCTACAGCTTGTCTGGATCGAGAATATACATTAAACACACGGTATTTTCAACAATATTTCTTAAAAAGGAAGAATTGTTGATTTAAGAGGGAAAAGTCGATACAAATTAATTATAACCTAACTTATGGTTATCTTATTTGCCTCACCAGGAAACCCCTTTATATGATTATGTAAAATGGTAAGGGTCCATAAGCCGTCAAACCTTTGCTTATCTTGAAGCTTCAAATGTGATTGAAATAAGTTTCTGGTTTTAATATATGTAAACTGATGGTATCATGTTATACTTAATCTATATACTTTTATTCAGAACTGAACAAATGTCATGAATTGAAATCTGAACAAAAGACAAATCAATTGCGGCTGCCCTCAGCCATTTGAGTGGAATCTTTACGATGATAGGGAAAAAAGAAATACTGAAACGTATGCAAGAGCTTAATCAATCAAGACAAGTTAGGGGAAGGCATCTTGTTTTCTATACAACGCAATACGATTCAAGGAGAAAACTACGGACCCATTAATCTGTTCATAATGTTTTGAAATACATTTTATATCAGTAAATAAATAGATGTTAACTGTTTATTGCATTGAATCCTCCTACTCCTCTTCTCTGTCCGGATATCATTTCTGTTAAATCTATCGTTTTGTATTTTGATTTCTACCCAATACTTGCTTCCATTGAAAAGTATCGAGACAGGAGATCTATATTCCATGCATTTTAACTTAAGATATCCTTCAATTAGTATTATTAGTTATTCGGGTAGCCTGGTTACCGCCCCACTTGACAAGTTTCATTTTGAAGTCCGCAGTAGTCTGCTACCATCACGTGGTCTGGTGAGGGTCATCTTTCAATGTTGATACGTTGTTGCTTGACGGCCAAACCACATATTACATGAGCGGTGTCGTCAGTCGTCAGGGTCGTCAAGCGAACTCCCCTATGAAATATGGAAACATAAGAATACCAGTAATAATATAATTTTATAATTATGGTTTTCTAAAAAAAAAAAAACCTTTCAAATAAGCAATGCAATTTCGCAGTTGAATTTGAAAGAGGTAAATTCTATATTATCTATTTAAATAAAGATAGTTTGATTTGATTTCATATAATGTTTATTTATTCCATATAAATCAACATATTTACATTTACCATCGTATGAATATAGATGTATGTATGATGACATGGCATATACAGAAAAGGGGTCGTCTTAATTAAAGCACAAGCTTGAAGTGACGTCCTCGCGAAATGAAAATAATAATACATACAATATGAAGCGATGCATGCCAAATTTGGTTAGTAAGGAAGCAAGATTTGTTGTTAAGTAACATAGAAAGAGAAGGGACATAGAGGATCGGAGAGGGAGAAAAAGTTACATTCTTGATAGTATTGGGAGGAATACATATATATCAAGTCAAGTTGTGCATGAAAAATAATCACCTTTTGACAGCTATTATTCATGACAATTATAGGGATATCCTTAAAATAAATTATAAGTTGAAAATGAGCTTCCAGAGATTAAAATTCCTGTAGGTCAGATATCTAATGGGTAAATAATTTACAATCATTTATATCAAACCGCTTTCTTTTTTACATTTAAATTCCAATCAGAAAGGCGATTAATACATTTACGTGTTTGCATTCGAAGAAGAGAGAAATTGATGTAAAATTCTAGGATATCGTTATTAAAACCAAAACTAGATTTGAATTTTACCACTATTTGCAAGCAATTTGATATTGATAAATAATTTTGTTGAAACAGGTACTACAAGCATTACATTTCAGGCAGGAAAGATTTGAAATAAATATATATATGATGTCACCATCATGACCAAGGTAGCAGGCAGAGGAAGAGGAGACACATATAGGCCTACACTCCGTACCTATCACCCATAATGACATCATTTCATTATGAATTTTTTATTTGTTGTTGTTTTTATTACAGAATTAAGAATATACAGGCAGATTGATTGAAAGAAAATGCAGGCCACAAATAACATTATTCATCTTAAACATGTTCTGAAACAGCAGTGTGATTCGTAAGTATTTCTTTCCAATAAACACTCGTATTTTCAAACTCATGGATATTGCTATATTATAAGAATCATGTTTTATGTATCTATTTTTATGCCACGGTCCTAAGTGTACTTTATGTTTGCTAAGATAGAGCAGTGTGATTCGTTGGAATTTATTTCCAATATAATCTCTTATATTCAAACTGATGGATATTGCAATATTTTAAGAAGCATGTTTTATCTTTCTACTTTTGGCCAAGGTTCGGAATGGAGTTGTTTTGCTGAGATGCATGCTACATGATCCTTTGATAATTTGTATTCAGTAGAGCTATAGATAAGATAATATATATAATAAATATATATATATATATATATATATATATATATATTTCGTCCTTTCATCAGAAATTAACGTCAAATCGCTTTTTAAAAAAAAGAGGACGAAGTAGAATGAACGTTTGTGCCTTATATATCATGTACATGAAGGAAAAGTACTTTTTCACTGAATGTTCATATAGTTGTGAAAAATCTTTTTCTTTATGTTTGTTAGATTTCAGTTTCCGGATATCATTACACAGATCAAGAACAAACCTTTCGCTAGAGGTTATCATCTTAATCAGGCCAGAATAAACACATTAAAGACAGCTTAAAATAATGTGTGTATTGTTTATTCTTGGGTTTAGATTCGGCGAAGTCAAATATGGATGATATAAAACCGCTATAGCCTACATTGAATCGATGAAATGCCAGAAAGAGGGAAAAGAATCAATAGAAGGATGGGCATGTAATCTATTGTTATATCTTACCTCACCATGCGTCACGGTGACAGTCAGCTTGCCTTCACTGTTTACCTCAGAAACCAGTGGATCCAGATCCGCGTTGGTATGACACAAATCCAACCTAAAGTAATAAAACAGTACATTTCGGGGACACATAGTAGAAGACCAGCCTGTAGGTCCCGTGACCAATCTCTGGGAACAAAGGTTTGAAAGTGTTTTTGTGTTCCCTGATGAATACCGAACAATTTTGACCACCAGTCAAAAGTGTGTTTACCTTTCAAAGTTTTTGACCCTAGCGCCCTCATTTAAGGTCGGAGGTATAGCAAACTATACATTTTTGGAATCCTCATGACCAGACGAGTAATTTAATATGCATATTGACACGATTGGAACTATTAAAATTTATATCCTTGTGTGACCTTTGTTGACCCCGCACGAAAATGCCTGGGATTTTCAAGGGGGCAGCCCAAGTCAAAATTGTTCGGTATTCATCAGGGAACACAAAAACACTTTCAAACCTTTGTTCCCAGAGATTGGTCACGGGACCTACAGGCTGGTCTCCTACTAACAGTACTTTATCTTCTGGACTAACCTGACGTACGATATATACTCTTTTAAAACGCCATCAGAGGTGTTATAAATAAATTCTGCCCCCCCCCCCCCATGACAAAACGGCATAACATACAATTTTTTCAAATTGCGTTTTCTTTTTGGCTGTTGGTACTCAATACATCATATTACACATGTTAAACCATTTTTTGAATGTTTAAAGTGTCACTATTTATAATTAATTAGCATGTCTAAATGGCACAGCAGTGTGTTCTTCTTATAAACCCATGACAAAAGAGCTTAACATCACAAAGCACCGTGCACTAAAGAAGGATGCACTTGAGTGTGCAAGGAGACACTAGTAACCAATCAGAATGGACATATTTTCTGCATGAATGAGCTTCACTCAAGTACATCCTGGATACAGTGTACTTTCTTTACAACAATCCAAAATAAAAAAACACATAAAGTGGTGATTTTTTGTTGTTGAAATTGACAACTTTCAATTAATATGAATGAATAATACGGGTTATGATTGATTTTGGCAATTTCATATAAAATCGTCAAATTTGTTTTAAAATCGTTCAAAATTGACATAGTTTTAGGCAAACACCTACAACCATGTTATTTGAAGACTTTAAATGAACATGTACATAATATTAAATATCAAAACTCATTAAATTAACAGTGTATTGCATTAATTCCTTTCCGTCAAAGTTTGCCCATCCATTGTTAAAGCAGTAACACTACGACAAAACAGCATAACAGAAAATTTGAGCGTAAAATAAGAGATTTTTCTAAAAAATAATTGAATATTGTAAGACATGCCAAATGTCTATTCAGACAAGTTTAACCATAATTTATGCAGTCACAAAGTCTCTAAAGGCTTTTAAAAGAACACGTTTTGCCTTATAGCTCATAAACTTAAACAAATGTCTGTTAAGCTGTTTTGTCATGGGAGGGGGGGGGGGCAGTGTACAGTATGCTATATGATGTGAGAATAAATGATAATTTAATACACATTGGACCTTGCATAATTTTCCTCTGCATTTATATTACATGACTGCAAACCATGGTATAGTGACTGTGTATGTTGGATACAGCAAGTCTATGAAAATCATGATGAATACGATGAAGAAATCTTATCTTTATCTTAAGAAAATGATATTGGTATAAATAAATAAAAGCTTTATTGCACATTTTGCAAACATTAACCTAATATTGACTCAAAGACATGTTCATCTTTTTTATTGACTTTCAGAACATTGCAATAGACACTGGATTTATATAAATTGGTTATTCCCAACAATATTGAGATGAAAATATGTATTTTCATTTCTTCAATGTTGTCTCTGAAAATATTTTCATTGTGCTCACTATCTAAAAATACATTATTATAAGATTAAAAAAAAAATTGAATTAAGTATTTAAGTGCATATTTTTCAATAAGACAGTATTAAATGTTTCATATTACAGAATTGTAACTGCTTTCCGCTACTTACTCTATGTTTGTCAGGTGTGGATGAGTCTTCATGCGTTTGATGATCTCAGCTGTCTTCTTGTTGAACAGGTCAATGTAGGTAATGGACAGCTTTGTGAGTCGGGGACATGATGTTATCACCGCCTTGCAGAATGACACGGGATCATTCAGTGTAGTAGGAAAAAACAGGTGTCTCTGGATGTGAAGGTGAGATAGATAATGGAATGGAGAGCAGGCCATTGTGATGGTATCTGATGAGACATCCTCGCTCGACCATTCCAGCTTGAGAGTTTTCACTCGGGGACATGATGTATGAAGTCCAAGGTTCCACAGACTGGTCACATCTTTACCATCCACAGATAGCTCATCTACTGACTCAGAGGTAACTTGACGAGTCTACATGAAACAGCGATGCATAAAAGCTCACTACATATTATTTGAATTAAAACCAAAGCTAATGTAAGAAATTATTTTTTAATAGATAACCTGATTTTTTTTTAATTTTTTTAATGTAGTACTTTTAATGTTCATATCATGCTTGGTAAATAGTAAACAAATATACAGTAATAAAACTTAAAGGCTTTTCATCGGATTTAAGTATGAAGAAATATACAAACGTGTAGTTTTGAAAATGTGACAAAGAATATAAAGTCTTTGAACTTTTTGATGCCGAGATTATAAATGATATAGAGAATCTTCAATTGACATTAAAGTCATATTCGATGCCGTTCCGGATGAACTATATGCGATTTCTCTTTTCAAAATATTAAAAATACCTCTCTGTTTTCCATTTTAATGATACAGCAGATTATGTATTGCCCTCCCTCTAAAAATAGGTTTTTCTATCAAAAGACTCAAGAGAAGGTGTTAGCGGTATTTTGGATACATAACAATTAGCGGATTACCCCTGAATGTCATAAGACATCATGACCGCATTGCCTATACAAGTTTTCTCACATCATTAGCATTATCGACGTTTAACATTCCTTAACGTTTTTCTTCTTTTCCGATTTGTCTGAAACCTTGGTTAAATTATTTCTTTATTTTGTCCGTTCCCACCAACATAACCAAACCCAACTTTTGATTTGATTTGATTTATTGGTTTCTGCATTTTTTTTCATTTTTCATCATACATTTTCATGAACATAATATGGTTTGATACAATATTTTAAGTGTATATAATTTTATACAGATTATAAACGAATTTAAACAAATATATTGAATGCATAATTAACATACATTAGATGCAGGAGGGCTACAGAAATAAGCAAAATAGCTTGACGTGCCCGCAGCCCTCAACTTAGATGCAACAACAATAACAAATACAAATAGAAAAGACTGACTTGCAGAGAAGAAAATGAAAGGGGAGAGAAGGAGCGTTGGTAATAATACAATAAATCTCGTACATCTGCTGATTGAATGCAGGTTCATTCATGAATGGCTAAACGATGCTAGGTCATGGACGATAACACATCATTGTTGAATATACAGTCAATGTACACACGAACATGAATATAGTACAATTACACACGACAGGATCAATACTTAGACAATAACATAGTTTTAACTGCCTTCTTAAATGAAAACAATGTCCTAAGGTTTCTTATTACAATGGGCAGAGAGTTCCAGATGTCTGGGCCGGCGTGTATTATGGATTTGAGAGCCAATGCGGTTTTTTGATTTCTTAAATGGAATTTTTCAGTTTGCCTTGTAGATGATGTAGATGATGTAAATTACAAAATGAAAGTTTCTGAAATTATCTATTCCTTTTGTGAAGATGAATACCCTTCCTCACAAAAAAGGTGGGAAATGTTCAAGATTAGAATTCGTGAATTTTCACAACAATTCTGTAGAACAAAAGCACTCGATAGGAAAAATGATAAATTTTCATTAGACAAGAAATTGTGTGAACTTGAAAAACAAATTGATGTCAGTGTACCTGATAAATAAATAGAACAAGAGTACACCGACACAAAGGAGAAGTTAGAGAAGATTTATAGACATGAATCTAGAGGAGCTGGAATCAGAGCTCGTATTAGGTGGATGGAAGAAGGAGAGAAAAGTACGAAGTATTTTTTTGGTTTAGAAAAGAGTAATGCAAAGAAAAAGGAAATTTCACAATTAAAACGTGGAAATGATAGTCGAATCGTTAGCAAAAATGAAGAGATTATGGAAGAGGTTGTAAAGTACTATTCACAGTAGTTTTTATCACCTGACGAAGTGTTGCAGATAGCGCACGAAACGTCATGAACTTTTAGATTCCTTATTGACCACATTGCGAGACAAACGAATATCACTAGTGATATTATTTTCGAAACATACATATTGTTTTCTATTTGTTAAATAATTTTTAAACCATTCTTTAGCAACACCCCTCAATCCATAGTATTCCAATTTACGTATAAGTATTGTATGGTCAAGAGTGTCAAATGCCTTGCTCAGATCCATGAATACTCCAATAACATGCTTATGATCAGCTAAGGCATTTGACACCCTATCAAATAATTGTAACAATGCTAACTCCGTTGAATTAAATTTTCTAAAACCATATTGATTTTCATACAATAGTTCATTTTTGTTAGAAAATCATACAGTCTATTATAAGTCAGTCTTTCTAAGACTTTAGAAATACTTGGTAAGATAGAAACAGGTCGGTAATTTGAAACTAGAGAAGAGTCGTCTTTTTTGTATATTGGAATTACTTTTGCTATTTTCAGTGAGTCCGGAAAGACTCCTGTTGTAAGTGATAAATTACAAATGTGTACTAGAGGCGTTACAATACTTCCTGCTATTTGTTTTAAAAAGTGCGTACTCATCTCATCATGACTACAAGAATAACTTATTTTCAATGAATTGATAATATTCAAGATTTCAAAACAGTTTGTAGGCATAAAGAAAAAAGATTTATCACATGGATTTGAAAGGAATTGTTAATAATCTGAACCATTGGAATTTATATATGAATTATATTCCACATAGTAAGAATCTTGCTCTACGATTGGTCAAAAGTAAATCACGTGATGAAACATAGTTCGCCCATCATTGATGGGAGAAGAAAAGTTCGTTACACTGTATAGATAGTACTACTATCTTCAGTGAAAGTGCGTTGTACTCGGTAGATTTGCTTTTGACCAATCGTAGAGCAAGATTCTTACTATGTGGAATATAATTCATATATCAAACGTCTATACTTGCATGCACGGTTATGATTTTTTTTCACTTTGGGATGAATTTTAACCATGCATATTTTCTTCAAGCTCGTTTGATGTCGATTGATGAATATATGCTGTATTCTATTTCCTATAGAGATTTTTGTTGCTTATGTTTTCATCATCAAATGTGTAACTTTCAGTAATGTAAAGTTATTTGAAGGATTTATTTTAGTCTAGCCAAACGAATATCAGAATAAAAAAGGCGATAATGAGTACTACAATCCCGTCATTTTCCACTGAAAAAAGGAGGATTGCACTCCATTCTAATTCCAGTTTTTAAAGCTGAAAGAGATCCACCAAACTCTTCATCATACAGACCTATCTCACTATCCCCAGTACTCCGTAAGCTTATGGAGAGGATGGTCAAAAACCGTTTGACATGGTTTACTGAAAAATACGATGTTATTACCCCGTTACAATCGGGTTTTCGAAAAGAGAGGAGCACAATGGACCAAATCATTAGATTAGAGACCGATATTCATGAGGCCTTATTGAATAAAGAGTACACAATCGTAGTCTTCCTAGACTTAGAGAAATCCTACGATGTACTGTAGAGAAAAGGAATTATATATAAATGTACGAAGCGGGTTTGAGAGGAAACATTTTGAAATAGGTAGAAGCATTTTTTAGCCGGATGACGGCTCAAGTTAGAGTAGACGGTACACTGTCAAACAGTAAAGTATTACTACAAGGAACCCCACAGGAAAGTGTAATCAGCCCACTGCTTTTTACATTTATGCTGAATGATCTTGATTGTGTAAACAAAATAACCAACGTTTCTATATATGCAGATGATATTTGTATATGGTTCTCTAGCCGAAACTTCAAATTTGCAATAAATAAAGTTCAAACGGTTTTGAAAGAGATAGAAAACTGGTGTAAAAGATGGGATGTTTATGTCCCATCTTCAAAGTAAAAAACAGTCCTATTTGGTAGACGGGAAATAAAAGAAATCAAGCTAAAGATTAATGATTGCATTATTCCTCATCATAATTCACAGAAATTCCTAGGAATCTGGTTTGACCACAGATTAACCTGGGCTACTCATTTTGATTTTATTGTTGAAAAATGCAAAAAACGTCTAAATTTATTACGCTATATATCGGGTACGCAATGGGGATGCAACTCCCGAGTAGTGCAAATGGTATATAAAGGCCTTATCAGGCCTATTATAGATTATGGATGCGAAGCATATGGGTCAGCATCAAATACTCTGTTGAAGAAAAAAATGATTCTATCCAATACCAAGCTCTTAGGATTACCCTTGACATTACTAGCAGCGCTTCAGGTCGAGTGCGGGGAGCCTCCCTCAGAGTTTCGTAGACAGGTCTTTGTTGACAACTTTTTTTTTTTTTTTTTTGGAGTTCAAAAAAAATCGCAACGACTCAGCCAGCCGAAAAGTCGCTCAGTGGGGGGGGGGGGGGGGGGGGGGGGGGGGGGGGGGGGGGGGGGGGGGGGGGGGGGGACACTTTTTTTTTTTTTTTTTTGGTCTCGAAATTTGAAAATTTGACATTTTTCCGTTGGGGGGGGGGGGGGTAAGGTCACCTTTTTTAGGTTAGCCGTGGTCATATTTTTTTTTTTTTTTTTTTTTTAATTTAAAAAAAATCCAAAAAAATCCAAAGGGCGGGGGGGGGGGGGTTTAAGTTTGTTTAGGGGGGTTTACACACATAAAAATACCAAAGGGGGGGGGGTTGTTACACCCACAAATGTAATAACTCCCACAAATGTAATAACGCCCACAAATCAAATGTAATAACACTTTACCTAACCACATGCGTCATTTTTATCAGCATTTATGGCAAAATCAGTTGGAAGCAATAGACAAAGGTAGATTCTTATTTCAGATCCATCCTTATGTAGCGAGACTTATTTAGTTATCTGGCTTTTGTAGAAAAGATGAAAGATTATTACATCAAATGAGAATGGAAAATGCAAATTAAACTTTTACAAATTCAGTATTAATAAACATGAAAATGGCCTTTGTGATTTTTGTCCTGAAACTGAAACAATAGAACATTATTTATTGGTGTGTAAGAAATATGTACGAGGGAGGAAAAGGTTGTTTTCTCTGTTGAAAATTAAAGATAAGAGTTTAAAGCTGATATTCTAAGCAAACAAATGTCCCTTAATTTGGTACCTACGGCAAGCATATGTTATTTATAAGTTTTTATAATTACATAGTATATCACAAACAAAATTCTGGCTACTCGAAATCTTTA